CGCTAGATTTAGCGGAAAAAATTCCCCGCTAGATTTAGCGAAAAAATTTCTCCGCTAAATCTAGCGGAAAAATTTTCCCGCTAAATCTAGCGGAAAATATTCCCCTCTAAATCTAGTGGAAAAATTTTCCCCGCTAGATTTAGCGGAAAAAACTCCCCGCTAGATCTAGCGGAAAAATTTCCCAGCTAAATCTAGCGGGGAAATTCCCCGCTAAATGTGGCGGAAAAATTTCCCCACTAAAGCTAGCGGAAAATAGTCCCCTCTAAATCTAGCGGAAAAATTTCCCCCGCTTAGCGGAAAAAACTCCCCGCTAGATCTAGCGGAAAAATTTCCCAGCTAAATCTAGCGGGGAAATTCCCCGCTAAATGTAGCGGAAAAATTTCCCCACTAAAGCTAGCGGAAAATAGTCCCCTCTAAATCTAGCGGAAAAATTTCCCCCGCTTAGCGGAAAAAACTCCCCGCTAGATCTAGCGGAAAAATTTCCCAGCTAAATCTAGCGGGAAAATTCCCCGCTAAATGTAGCGGAAAAATTTCCCCACTAAATCTAGCGGAAAATAGTCCCCTCTAAATCTAGCGGAAAAATTTTCCCCGCTAGATTTAGGGGAAAAAATTCTCCGCTAAGTCTAGCGGAAAAATCTAGCGGGAAAAATTCCCCGCTAAATCTAGCAGAAAATATTCCCCTCTAAATCTAGCGTAAAAATTTTCCCCGCTAGATTTAGCGGAAAAAATTCCCCGCTAAATTTAGCGGAAAAATTTCCCCGCTAAATGTAGCGGAAAAATTTCCCCGCTAAATCTAGCGGAAAAATTTCATCTAGCGGAAAAATTTCTCCGCTAAATCTAGCGGAAAAATCTAGCGGGAAAACTTCCCCGCTAAATCTAGCGGAAAATATTCCCCTCTAAATCTAGCGTAAAAATTTTCCCCGCTAGATTTAGCGGAAAAAATTCCCCGCTAAATTTAGCGGAAAAATTTCCCCGCTAAATGTAGCGGAAAAATTTCCCCGCTAAATCTAGCGGAAAAATTTCATCTAGCGGAAAAATTTCTCCGCTAAATCTAGCGGGAAAAATTCCCCGCTAAATCTAGCGGAAAATATTCCCCTCTAAATCTAGCGTAAAAATTTTCCCCGCCAGATTTAGCGGAAAAAATTCCCCGCTAAATCTAGCGGAAAAATTTTCCTGCTGAATTTAGCGGAAAATATTCCCCTCTAAATCTAGCGGAAAAATCTAGCGCGAAAAATTCCCCGCTAAATCTAGCGGAAAAATTTCCCCGCTAAATCTAGCGGAAAATATTCCCCTCTAAATCTAGCGGAAAAATTTTCCCCGCTAGATTTAGCGGAAAAAATTCCCCGCTAAATCTAGCGGAAAAATTTCCCCGCAGCGGAAAAATTTTTTCTTTCTTCTTACACTATTTCTTGCGAATTTCATTCCCAGTCTCGGGATTTTGCATCATGATCAACAGACACCAGCTCGCCTGCACCTTGACATTTTTTTTGTTAGTAATTGCTTTGGAGGTTCATTTTCCGGGGCGGAAGAAACGCCGAGCAAAAAGCACAGAAGCTGACGCAACTTGAGGTCGAGGAGCGTTCTACCCTACCAGTGGCGTCGGAAGAGGAAAAACGGGGGGGGGGGCCTCCAGTCTCTCCCCCCCTTCCAGATATTTCGGACTGTTAAAGAAAACAATTCGGGGAAAGAGGGCATGGTCGAGCTTATTTTAACCTGAAATTATTTATGCATATGTATAGCTACTGTCACTCTTCACTGCATAAAAGATTGCTTAGATGGTCATTGTTAGAAACTCGTTGTCAGAAGGCACTACTCGTCACGTGCTCGGTGGTTCGGTAGTTCAATGCTATGTCTTTTCGACCTATATAACTGTGTCATTGGTAAAAAAATAATCAATAAATAAACGTAACAATAAATGCAAAAGTAAAAAACTGGAGAAAAAAAACACTATCAAGAATCCACCGGAAGTGTTGTATTCTTGCAGATTCAGAGGCCCAGAACTGCGAAACAAGTTTCTCCTACCAAAATGTGTACAGGTGGAAAGGAACACGTCCCAAAAACGTAAAATAAAAAAAATATTAATTTTTTTTATGACGTGCTGATTTTGAAAAGTTTTAGAAATCTTTCCCCATGAGTTCATTTATTCCTCAACGTGAAAAAAAACGATAAATACATTATTTTGTATTCTTCAGATGGCAATGATATGTACTGACTGTGGTGTTAATTTAAATGCGATACCTCAAACAATTTAGACAAAAAAAGCCGTTTACAACTCCCTGTAGCGCTGAATTGGAGCGCAGCTCTTGAGGAGGAGGAGGGAAGGGTACTGAGGGGAGGGTAGACCCCTCCTTGTCCTCCTCATTCTCCTCCCCTCATTCTTTAATATGCTCCGGGGGTCACCTGACCTCGGGGGGTGTCACGTGATTTGGGGGAGGGGGTCACGTGACCTTGGGGTGACCTTAGGAGGGGTCACGTGACCTCGGTGGTCACGTGACCTCAAGGCTTACGTGACCTTGGGGGGTCACCTGACCTTGGGGTGACCTTGGGGGTCACGTGACCTTGGGAGAAATCGCATGACCTCTGGGGGTTCGAGTGACCTTGGGGGGCACGTAACCTGGGGGTCACGTGACCTTGAGGTGACCTCGGGAGAAGTCACGTGACCTTGGAGGGTTCGTGACCTGGGGGTCACGTGACCTTGGGATGACCTTGGGAGGGGTCACGGGACCTCGAGGGGTTCGTGACCTGCGGGTCACGTGACCTTGGGATGACATTGGGAGGAGTCGCGCGACCTTGGGGTGACCTTGGTTACGCCGACGGCAACGCTGCTTAAGCGGGAAACGGGCGCCTAAGAGCTGCGCTCTAAAACAATTACCAGGTTTAGGGCATAAGAGACCCTTTCCGAAATTCAGTCTAGCCACTTTGATCACTATCATCATCTGTGGAACGGCATCTGTGCCATACCAATGGCGGCTTTCTAGTGACTGATAAAGGGAGACGTTGCTCCTAAGCAGACGATGCGAGGCCTGTACATTCGGGGGGTCAGTACGACGCGACGTAGAAATGGAACACAAGAGCTACGTAAGCGTTTATTTATAATTACTTAGGATTCAGTCAATCTGTGGGCGGCACACAAGCGGCTTTAAAGCGCTTTCGTGTATAGAATTTTCTCGAGGCATCTGAGCGGGTTGGAGCTTTGTTCTGAATGCAGGTTCTTGGTCACCATCGAACTGAAAGTGATCGAGAAAGAACTCACACTGAACAATTCCTCGCGTGCCGTTGACTTGCGAAAGTGACGGTGCCGATACAAGTTCATATCCGCCATTGATATGGCAAAACCTAAACTGCTTTACGAACCACCAGGTGGCACTGAATTTCAGAAAGGGTCTATTGCCCGTAGATACATGTTTGGACATTTCTTCGAAACTCGTCTTGAACAACAATAATCATATCTAAAGACTACACTTACCTAGGCTATACATAGATCATTCTTAAAATGTTTAACATCTGTACCATAAATAGCTTTGGCTATAACGCGCTTCAAATATGGCACAAACGACAACTGTCATAAAACCGTCGTCCTTCCTCGCTCCTTCGGGAATTTATTTCTTTAAAACCAAGCATGCCAGATGATTGAAATAAACGGCATTGTCTTTCGCAAGGAATGCGACTCCACATGTAAAAATGTGAAAAAAAAAAATTATGAATGTACGTCACTGCTTGAATCCAAATGAAACCGCCTGCCAATCTGTCGAAGTTTGACGAACTTCAAACTTTTAGAATTTCAAACTTTTACCCTAAAAGTTCGAAGTTCGCCGAACTTTTGACTTTTCGGGAATCGAAAGTTCGACAATTTTCAAAGTTCGAAAATTATCGAATTTCTTAGTTCAGGAAGTTTGAAAGTTTGAAACGCTTTGAACTTTTTAGTGCAAGAAGTTCAAAAGTTGGAAAACCATCGAATTTTTAAGTCTATCAAGTTCGAAAGTTCGACAAGCATCGAATATTACACACCATTGACTCAACTTCATAACTGCATACAACATCCTCCTTTTACAACAGCCCAAAATCTTGGGTCAAAATCAAGGTCTGTTATAAGGAGCTTAGACTGTAGTACTTTTCTTTAAATGTTGTTGTCGACGCTATTAATAGGCCCGTATGCCTTTGCCATGTTTTGCTTTCTTTTTTTTTAACGCTAGTTTTTAAAAATTTGACCGTCCATTGTATCGATAGTCGATATAGTGGAACGAATGGCCACTGTCCATTGTTGTCTGTCGATTTCTATCGATAGCTGACTACGAAAAGTATCCATAATCATTCTTTGGATAGTTTTGTGTCGCTAATGAGCGGTATAGGACGCTGGATGTCTACAACAAGTTCCGGGCAGCAGAAGGGTCGGGGGTCACGCCGGGCGGCCGTGTCCGGGGGGCCTGGATCGAGCTGCCCAGGGACGCACTCACCGCTCTGCGTCGTCCAAGATCGCGGGGTGCTGCGCCGTCCGGGGACAAGAATCGTCTCGCAGTTTTTCCCGTCCCCGGCTAGGAAGCGACGACGTCACGGAGGGCGTGGCATTTTTCGACGTCGATGACGGGAAAGACAGTTTTAGATGGCGGGCAAAAACGTTACTAAGGGTGAAGCCTGGGCGAGTTGGTGTGACATACAGGTGTGGCAGCGCTCTGTCTGTGTCCTCCTTTACCCTGTCCGTTGTCTTTTACGCTGTTTTAACCTTTTAAAAAACGTTACGTTTACCGCGCTCGTCTTGGAGCTTGTGCCGGCCGGTGAGGCGTCGTCTTTGCCGGCGGGGGAGGTCGGGCGAACCAAGGGCCGAACCTCGATTTGCAGATTGACCCTAGCTTGAAATTCGAGTATTCTTTAAATAGGTAGAACTGCGGAGGTGCTCGCGTCGGATTTCTCCGACCCGTCGTGCGCCTCTGGTACGGCCAGGCTTGCGCGACCGCGGAGACGTCTCCGGTGCACCGGCCGAATTGACGACGTTGCCCCCACAGACGACGCCGGACGTGCCCGCGCTGGCGGGGCTGACGCTGACTAGCGTGGAGCAGCGGCAGCTGGTGCTCATCGGGGGCTTCTCGCCCGAGTACGGCTTCCAGGAGAAGACTCTGGCCTACGGCGTCGACGCCATGGACTGGCGCGTCCTCAACACCACCGGCACCGTGCCCGTCGGTGAGCACTGCCCGGGGGGCTGCGGTAGCTTCCCGTAGGCAACCTTCGGATTTTGGAAGGGCGTGGGAGAACGGCCGACGGATTTTCCACGGCGACACTCGCGATGGCAGAATTGAAATCCTGTATTTCTCCATTCTCTGCTGGGGGTAAAGACGGGAGCAGAAGGCGCCGATTCGCAGGCGCTTTAATCGAGAGAGAAGTAAAAGAGCAACAGAAACGCGGAGAAAGGAAGTGGGCGATAGGTTGGACGTGTTTGTTGTGCCGTGAGGAGTTGAAGCTGTCCGGACGCTCGTCGACTTTCTTTATACGACGCACGACGGTGGTGTCTTCCTGCAAAGTAAGCTAGAAAAGAGCTAGGTACAGACCTCAGAGGTGATGATTTGCCGCTTCTTCGCTTCTATTAAGGCGTCACCAGCGATAGGGGCCCATCGGGACCTCCGGGTCTATGCCCTGCCGCTGCGAAGCAGCCGGAATGTGCGAGACCTTTTTCTCTATATTTTCGTATTATCCACCCCCCCACGAAAGGAAGCACGAATTGAAAAAAACCGACCAAACTAGAAAAACTTGTAGCCTCCTTTCCCTTTCCGTGTGCTTCTCTCTGTCCCGTTCTGCCTCAACGTGGTCGAGGTCACGCGCGCTACACGTCGACGCCGACCTTGCCTCGTGGGAAAACGACTACGTTTTATTTTTTGCCGGCCTCGCTGTATTGGATCGGGATAAGAAAGGTCTAAACAAAGCCTTTGTTCCTCGGTTCATTGGGTGCCTGAGACGCAGTAATGTACAAATTGCGCCGTAAAATGAGCACCGCAGGGACCCGCGGGCAAACTCCGGTAGCCGCGGGGGAACGTGGCTCACCAATGGTAGCGTGCACGCAAAGGGGAACGTAGAGCGGGGGTCCTCCAGGCTGTCCAAGTGCGCGAGCGTCTGCTAACTTTGGTGCCCTATGTAAGACTTAAAGGGACACTGCGAGGAAAAAAAAGTTTCGTTTTAAAGGGCATTAGTGCGACGCAAATTTCCTTAAACAGGTTTTCCACGAAAACAAATTTTGTTTCGCGCAATATTTATGTTATTAGACTCAATTTAGGTGCAGAAGGTGGAGGGCACAGCCTGCTAGGCCCCGCCCCGTGCTTAGCTGCTTACATCTCTCATTGGTTGGAGAGATGATTGGCGCATGAAAAGTTGGTTCTATACGTATTTGTATCTCTGTGCCGTAATAGTATTTTAATCGACTATCTTTTGTATGTTTGAGAAGCAAATAATCGAGATAGAGTCATTATTGTTTCGCAATGTATCGTGAGATTGCTTCTCCCGCCTTGGTTTGAAACATTAAGAAACATGGCTGCCGGCATCTGGGGACTGCTGACCGAAGTGGCTTTGAGTTCACGGATGTGTTTAGAGGAAGATATCACCCGACGTATGCGCCCTGGGAAGCGCTGTGTGGATGCTTGTTCTCGTGGCGGAACTGGCCCGAGTACATCGTCTAACTTGACCTGTGTTGGTTGATCTGGCTCGACTTATTCCTTGGTGCGAGTTGAGGCCGAATAAAAATGTCATTTCCCGCGGCCCCGCTGCTCCGTGAATTGTGCAGTTGTCCTGATTGCGACCCTGCTTTCAATGCCGAAAAGACACCAACACAGGTAAGAATTTGCGAGCCATTTGGTCGGAGGTAATTGGGCGTTTGCATCAAGTTTGTCTGTTCCCGTCATTGGGCCTCGAAAGGCGAGCCCTCAATTCCACGAACGACCTAGGCTCGTCTGGGTAGTTTGCGGCGCTGATCATAGATGGCAACGTGTGTTTTAGTTGGCGTATTTTTTTTTCGCCGCCGCTGATTTTTGCGTAATGAACTTTTCACATTTTATCTGTATCACTAGAGGAATAAAACTTCTAAATAAAAGAAATATGGCACCTTTAGTTTACTTTTTGAAAAAAAGGGGGCACTTAAGGGGTTAAAGCATTTTAAAGGGTTTGGGAGTGCCGCGAAGAGAGCCTAGCATCGAGGCACCCGTGCTGAACCGACCGCCCTCTGCAGGCATCTACGGACACACGAGCGACTACCACGGGCCAACGCAGAGCATCTACGTCTTCGGGGGCGTGGTGTACTCGGTGGACCACACGCTGGTGTCGGACACGCTGCACGTGCTGCACATGCCCAGCCGGCGCTGGTCGCGCCTGCCCCCCGACGAGCGCGCCAACCCTGCCTACACCCGGGTGGGTGTCTGCCCACGGGGGCCTCCCCAGAGTCCCGCCGGAGGCCGTCTAGGGGCGTGCGACCTCTGGGCTCGACCGTCGCCCCACCGCGAAGAGGCGAATCCGCGGAGGGGGGGGGGAGGGTTGTTGAAAATTTCTGAGCGAGCATTCGTGGGATGGAGTCGCGTCGACGGAATTCTTCTTTCTGCGAATGCATTTGTTGCTTTGGCACGCTCGTCGAACGAAAGGAAGGAAAGAAGGAAATACCGCGAACAACCGCAAAAAGAATGCCACGATCAACAGCGGCAGCCTTTGCGCTGTTGGAGGATGTTCTCGGATTTGCTTTTCGTCGAGGACGCGGAGGTTTCGTACGGCACTTGCTCGCTGCCTCTGGTGGCGCGACAGTTGAGGCCCCGCGCCTTTGCCATTCTCTCCGTCTTTCTGTCCCAATGCGCTTTCCATTCCTGCTGCTGGCACGGAGTCTGGCAATCTAACCTGGTCTGGCCATATCTGGAGGAGGGAGAAAGGTCTGTGCACCTCTTTTGTAGATGTGCAGGGAAAACCTTCCAGAACCCCAAGCGGTGGTGGCGGCCGCTTTTGGAGCTGCATCGACGGGGGGGGGGGGGAGCGACGGCGTGTCTTGCCATAGGCGACGTGGTTGTGCAAGGAGGAAAGATGTGGATGGGAAGAGAGTGGTAGCACAGGGGGCGGGGGTGCTTCCGGATTTTGCGAGTTTTCACAAACACTGCCAAATTTTGCGAGAATGAATGATGTTGTTTGTGATTACAAATTGAATGAATCGCACGAGACTCCTACATACGTTAGAAAAGCATTCACTAGGGCAAAAAGAGAAGAAAAGGGAAGGATATATATATGTATATATATATATATATAGAGGAGGCTGCACCTAAATATTGGTCGATGAAAGAAAGAGTGTTTGAACGTCGTCAACTCTCGAGCACGCTGAAGTTTGTTGGGTTTCAAGCGTATTAAGGTTGAGTGTCTTTTTAACGAGTGTTCGTCGTGGCATTTTGAGAGACAACGGCGTGCGGCAAGAGACGGTGATGTAGCGCCATTAGTGCCGTAGATCCGTTGGTTGCTCGGTGCGTGAGCCGGTGGGTGTCCGGGCGGCTGGACTGCGGCGTCTACGGTTCTCCCTGCTGGTTGCCTCCCTCGCGACGGAGTCAGCCTCGGAGGGGTCGACGCCTCGATCGCTCGGGAGGCGGTGCAACCTCTCGGGGCACTCCAACGGAGGTCGTTCTTGCCGCTTTGTCTTCCTCTTTTGGGGAGGGATGGTCGAAAGGAAGCTGTAACAGCTGTAAGAGATAAGAAAGGCACGACTGGACGCTGCTGCCCGTAAGTCTTCCCCAAAAGGTGGGGCACTGGTTGCCTCCTCGGAACGACCAACATCCTGCGATCCGGCCACAGATTGGCCTCGGCCCCTGGCTGGCTCGGGAGATTGGGGAACGTCCGTGACGGGGTGCACTTGAAACTTTAAGACATTGCATTCCCTCCTCGGGGAAATCTTTGTCGTGCAAATACACCGTAAGGTGGTGTATTTGCCTTACAGTGTCGCGCAGCGAGGCACAATGCCAGGCTCCGCGTTTGTTTGGAGCAGAGCTGCCCGATAATGGCCGATTCACGCGACAAACTGGTCCGCGGGCGGATGGATCGCGTGACTTTGTCAGTCTCCCGAGTGAGTCCGCGCAAAGCGGACGAGAAGCACATGCAAGCGGGGGCGGACCAAACCTGTTCACCACCTCGCAGTGCTGAGGAAATGCAACTTTGCACCACGACACCGTCATTCGAGAGAGAAATCGACGTTTGCTACCGCGATAAAGAATCGTACACCGCTGTTAGGTACAGAACAAGACAAAACGCCGCAATAGGCTTTGTGCAAAGTGCCGCTAGCTTTGCTGACTCGAGGCATGGCAGTGACGCGGGCATAATCCGACTGGCTTCGGCGTAGAAGCGACAAAGTTCTGGGCTCGCGGAGGGGCGTTGGGAGATGCCTTCACGCGCTCCGCCCTTGTGCGCAACACACTAAGTACTGCACAAGCAAGCTCTTGTTCGGTGAAAGGCCGATTGGATATGTGAGAAGTATCGTGGCATGCTAGACAAGTTTTGATAGACGCTTCTTGATACAGACTGGAACCCGCGTCACGTTAGCCAGGCAAAGTTTCTGCAGTTTTTTCCACGCGTGAAACCGAGAATTGTGTGACAAAATGAACCTGCAATTGCACAAAACACAATGGTGCACCATTTTTGTTTTAATCATCGGAAAACAAAAAACTAAGAAAACAGTTTGCCATTGCCAGACTATAGTAAAATTTCGTTAGTTTGACCTCGGTTAATTCGACTTTACGTTTAATTCGATCGTGTTCAAAAGTTCCGGCGAGCGCCCATACATTTCTATGGGAGGAAAAGATTGATAGTTCAAACTCGGGAAGACTCGGCATCGGATAATTCGTCCCGAGCGAATGCGTGCGGGCTCACATTGCATGCTACCACGGTAGAAAAACCACCAACGTAGGGAGAAACACGGGCCCTTTCCTGCAATGCCGAACGTGCTCAAATACGCTCCTCTACGCCGTTGAGATGGACCGTAGCGAATGACACGAGCCAGCGCAACTAATCTGGCGTGGAGTAGCGCGGAGAACGTGGCACGTGGTCGGGCACGCACGAACCAGCGCTCGCTCTCAAAACGTCTTTCTGTAGCATCGTGTGCGCTCAGTCTCCCGCACCGGAAAACGCGAGTTTTCCTTTTTTTTTTGTTCTTTTTCTTTGTTGCCGACGGTCTGGCCGCTCGGCACCAAAGTTTGCTCGCAGCTTTCTCAGCGCGCACTCTTAAAGCGCTTCTCTGTAGCATCGTGTGCGGTCCATCTTGCGCGTCGGAAAACGGAAATTCTCTTTTCCTTTCTTCTTTTTTTTTTTTTGTCGCCGAGTTGACTTTGGTTTGGTGCCAAAGTCGGTTCGTAAAACTTACTTTTTTCGTTTTTTCTTTTTTTTTTTTTTATAGTAGTGCGTGATTTTTTGGGGACGTTTAGTTACGCTGCTTTCGGAAGCATGCTTTTGGACACGCGTTTTAAGCGCAGACGGCATCGGACCATCCGTGAGTACTTGGGACAATAAGAGGAAGCTTAATTTTAACCGTCTTTCTCTCCTTTTTTTAGTTCACCCATTCGGATAATTCGACCAAAGTTCAAGGTCCCGTCGAGGTCTAACTAACGAAAGTTTGCTGTACACGCTTTTCAATTGTACGGGACCCTTTTAGGCCCGCTTCAGACTGGGCAACTTTTTCAGGAATTTTGAGGTTGCTGGCGGGTTGTTCCCTGGCTTTCCCCAGATCGACACGAGTTGTTGAGATCGGGTCCTGCTCGAAACGAGCGAGCAACTCGAAAAACTCGGAGACGTTTGAAGCGGCAGCAGCCAATCAGGGACGCCATATTTTCACGTGACACCCCCGTGGGGGTGGTGATGACAGCTAAAGACTTGGTTCTGGTTTGAAATGGATCTTTTTTGGAAATAAACCTTTTCAGAAAGATGAGTTAGTATTCTCAACGCCATTCAAAGATAAAAAAAACATGTTTTTAGCGCGTAGCTGCGCGTCTAAATAGTGCAAGAAAAATCAAAGTGAATGATGATGATGGCAGGTCCTAGCAATTCGGTTGCTGCGTGTGAACGCGGGTGGCCCTTGTTGCTGGTGTTGCGACGTCAAGAGGCTGGGTGAAAGTGCTCCGTCTGAAGCGGGCCTGAGACGAGACCAAAATAGAAAAAGTTCAATGAATGGCAGCGAGGTTCATACTAGCCAAGTATGAGAGACTCTGTGAAAAGTATGCTGGATGATCTTGACCTTTCACTGCTCTCTAACCGGGGGAAAACTGCAAAATTTACGTTCCTTTTTATGCAAAACTTGTTCCCCCGCCAATCTAGAACACTCGGGAAAGGCCACACTGCGCAACTGGTGATGAAAAGGGTGAAGAACGACACAAGTACTCATTCTTTCCCAGAACAATTCTAGACTCAAACAACTTCCCTCAGTGGATTGTGATAGCGTCGATGGTTTCACGAATGATTTGCTCAACCTGTCGACGGAGCCTTAACATCTTTGGAATGCCGAACCGTTGTTTCGATCGTAGCGTCGAGTTGATGCTGATGCCTCGTTGGTTAGATTATTAATATTTTTGATGTACCGCTATTGTGCCAACTATATAGAAGTTTTTTTTAGAATTAAACTTTACGTCAATGTTTTCCTAAGCAGGGTGCATATTACTGTTTCTTGCCTCGCGTCGTTATTGCTGGGCTGTAACTATTAGAGTTTTGCGTCTGGTTGAAAAGTCTCTTTTTTGTCGGATGTTTGTTACCATCACACCTGTAACGACCCGATTCTGGGTCGAGAGTATTTGTAAATAAATAAATAGTCAATCACCCGCTGAAAATCCGGGAATGAAAACGCGCTCGAGTTTATCGATACGCGGACGAGGTGCGGGTCGCAGGAATCGGCCATGTGACGGTCACGTGGTACGCGGATGCAACTTGTGCTTGGGCCCGCCGTGTTCATTGGTCGTAACAAGTGCTCGCTTGCGTTGGAACGTCGCCTTCCGGCAGGAGTGGAGCGAGGCGGACATTGTCTTTCTGGGAGAGGTAAAAAAGGATATGGTGCCAACTTATTTGCTTCCTCACTCGGGGGACTCTATAGTTTCTGTTGCAACAAACCCTCGAAGAAGGGACGAGCATGAAAGACAGAAACGGGGGCATGCCACGTTTGTCAGCTTTTTTAGAGCGCAGCTCCGAGGCACCCATTTCCCGCCCGAATGGCGTCGCCGTCAGCGTAACCGTAACGCATCGGTGTGACGCTTTTTTGTGACGCGTCGGCGTAGCCTTAACGCGTTCGCGTAACACTTTTTCATGATGCATTGGCATCGCCGTTGCTGTCGGCGTAGCCATAACATGTCGGCGTAACGGGCCGGTGTGACGCATCGCTGTAGGCGTAATTATGCAGTGCATTATGGGAAACGTCCTATAACCGCGGTGATGCGCGTGTTGCATTATCAGACGTTTCCCGTAATGCAACACGTAAGAGGGAGGAAGAGGAGGGGGAGGAGGGAGCAGGAGAAGAGGCATCTGTCCCCCCCGTGCCCTTCTCAAGAGCTGCGCTCTAATTAGGCATTACAAGGAGTTGGAAACGGCTTTCATTCTTCTTTTGCTTCTTGCCCGGTTTAAAAGTGGACCATTGTGGTGTGCGTCCATCTCTTGTCTCGGATTTTAGTGTGTGCCACACCAACCAGCTCGACCTTGTTCTAGCTCCGCGACATAATTTCACCTCATCACCCGAATAGTCTCGCCCATGTTGGGGCGAATCGCGGCCACGGTGGCCTTTAGAATTGGTGTTTGGTTTCGTCTCAGGTGTCGTCTCGTTACCTTCACGCCTCGGCCATGACGGACGACTTCCTGCTCGTCCTGGGAGGGCGCAATCGTTCCGGAGAAGCCATCCTGGAGTCATTTGCTTACGACCTGAGCTGCAATCACTGGATTCCACTGGAGGACTCCTGTGAGTTGGACTTGCAACGGCTCAAAAGGGCACCAAACTCCCGAAAATGCTCTTTCGGTAACTACCTGGATGAGATATCTGTGCCACTCGGCGAAAAAACCACATTTTATCGCAGTACGTATCTGTGTTGCGCAGCTCACCTAGGAGTGATTCCAAAACATGCTTCTATTCGGGGTCGACGTCTCAAAATAAAAGTATCTTTCGGAATTGCTCGAAGGACTCGTAAGATGTCTTTTTTTATGGCCTGGCACAAAAGTGCATGCACGGCCGCCGCTCTCGTGTCGGGTGTTGCTATACGCTGTATATGCCTATAAAGAATTCCGAGGACACCTAAGCACTTCTTATGAGTTGAGAATGCGAAAGCATAAATGTCGTTCTTCCGCTCCCTTAGTTCGTCTGCGGTGTACTATGCTCGGCGTGGAGGGGAGCAGCGCCAACTTGCTAGAAACAGTGTCTCAGCTGACATTGGATGAAAGAAAGCACTGCCAAAGTCAGTTCAGCGGGACTCAAACCGTGTCTCAAGATGCTCGCGTGCCCCAGCCTTTGCAGTGCTTTCTTTCACGGAATCTCAGCTGAGACGCAGTTCCAGCAAGCCGGCTCAGAAGCACCCAAAAGCCCCCCGCTCCGGCAATGCCCGAAATGAGAGCAACGGAAGAGCGCGCACTCTCGTGAAGCAGCTGCCAGTGGCTATCTAGGAGCCGTTTCACTCGGCCAATGAAAGAATGGACATTTCTTTAACGTTTCTTGGTCGTTACAGACGCCGCCAGCTCCGCTTCGTGGGATAGTTAATGCTTTCGCGCTAAAGAACGTATTTTGGGCGTCGCTCGAGCGCACTCCCGGAATGGTCGCGCGGCAGTGCTTTGGAGCCCATCGTATCGAGCGGGGGCCGCGAGCGAACGGCAACGTTTTCCAAAATTTTCTCGGGAGTTGATCGTATTGCGAGACCAACGAGCCGGACGAACCTCGCGTATCCGTAGCGTCCCATTTGTTCGCTTGGCTCTCGGCCTCGTGTGCAGCTTCTAGGCTGGCCGTCGAAGAGTCGCAAGTTCCTCCGTCCAGAACACGCGTGGAGGCCGGGCCCCGGGGTCGCTTCGGGGCCAGCAGAGGGTCCCTTTTAGCCTGGACAGGGCCCCTGAGCGGCACGGGGGACATTGCAGACGTGCGGCCGGCCGGGGAGCCGCCCCCTCCCGTGGCGGGGGCGTCGGGCGCCTGGCTGCGGGGCCGGGCCTACCTGGCCGGGGGCGGGCGGCTGCATCGCCTGGGGCTGCCCCGGGACCTGTGCGGCCTCTTCTCGCACTCCCGGCTGGGCTGCCTGCGCAGCGTGGGCTGCTCTTTCTGCTCGGCCCAGGACGGGGCCAACGTGAGCCACTGCTACTCCAGCGCCCGGCCCACGCCCCCCAGGTGACCGAGGGCGCCCCCCCTCCCCCCTCGGGGGCGCTGAGTGCCTCTTTTGCAGCTGCCTGCGGCACCGGGGCACCTTGGAGGTGGCGCCGGGCAAGCTGTGCGGGGCCGCCTGGCTGGCCAACCGCACCTGCGCCCAGTTCTCTTCCTGCGAGGACTGCCTCGCCTCCTGGCCCGGCCACGGGGTGAGCGGCTCCAGGGCCCCTTTCGATGCTCGTCGCCCAACGGGCGAGACTGAGTTTTACCCGCATTTATTTCCCCGGCTTTGAGCGGTCGTGCTTTGGACTGGGCCATGGACGAGTTTCGTGAGGCTGCGGCACATGTTCTCGCCGTGCGCTCCCTCCGTCGCTCATTACATTCACTTACAAGAGAGAAGGAGTGGCGCACTTCCAATGACACGCCGTGAAAAGGAGGGGATCGAGCGGCCGTGGTGCAACGTTCGTGACAATGGATAACCGAGGCACGACGACGACGCTGTTTGCTCGGATCTGCCGACACCCGTGGAGAGGATCCACTCTTTTGAGGCAAGAGTGTGCGGACCGTAGGCGCGATCGAGGGAAGCTGCGATGGCTGCATTACGAGCCGTTGTGTCCAGAACAACAGACTAGCTCTTCAAAGGGTATGTGGACCGTTTGAGCGAATAAAACGGCGCGAGGTCGAAATTCTCGTTCTTTGCCGAGTTGGAATCCCCTCACTAAATGATAATGCATTTCGTCGAGAATCGGTGTGGCGGCAGCGACGATTTCGGCGTAATAGTTTCTTCCGATTCGCTCGAATTTCAAGCTTCGAAAGCTTTAAAATGTCTAAAAGGCTGCCAATTATTTATTTCTTTCTCTCTAGTTCAGCGCGATTCATTTACGCGAAAAATAGACCGTTGGAACTGCTCCTTTTCTTTGTTTGGGGTCATTTGCTTTCTGGCGTCGGGGGCCTTGTAGCGAAAGTGAGAGGACGGCCGAGATGCGGAGAGCTTAGCCCGAATAACGTGGGTCTGGCGGACTACTCCGTCTTTTTTGTAGCGCTTTGTTTTTGACGGAGGCCCCTCGGAGCCCCAGCGGAAGAAACGTCTCTCGGGATCTTTGTAGCCGAGGAGAGCCTTGTTGGCTTCCGATCGGACGCGGCGTCGTGGCTTTCTACCGGGAGAGAGTCGTCGACCGATTGGGATCCTTTTACCTGTTCGCCAATCTTTGGCGAGAACTTCTCGTGCGCTCACCTCGGCGAGAGATGACTCGTTGCCTCCGAAGCTCTTGTCTCGAGTGCCTCCATGTCCACCGGTGAATGTCGGCGGCTTGTGTACGATTCGAAATTTCCCAAGAAAGCACCGAGCGTCTCCTGTAACGAGAAACGGTGGATGATCGCAATTTAAACTCGCTTTCGATGTCGCTCGGCCACGATTGCTGCGCGAGAGTCAAATTATTTTAGTCGCTCTCGCAGTGATGGGAATCCAACCCTCGGTAAGGTTGGTAGGCACCGAGCGTGTGCCGGGCTTAATTGGGCTCGAGAAGTTGCCTTGAGCCCAGGTTCTTGGAGTGTCCCTGATGCGGGACCCTTTGTCGATGGAGTTTTTACTCCCGCATCCAATCCTGCTTGGTGTCCAAAGGTAAGCTTTGCGCATCTTTAAACGAGTGCACCATTTACTCGAAATTTGTTTATGCAGCTAGATTATGATTCGGGGTGGACGGCGAGTGTACGGACAATCGTAGCTCTCCATTTTATAGACGCGGCTCTGACGTCGCGCCTCTGCGGGGGCGCTGTTGTCGCCACGGCACATGCGCAGTAGGTTCCCCTCACGGGAATTCGGTGTCTGCACCTGCGCAGTGGCCACACCTGGTGTGGGCAAACCTGGGCTTGTTTGTAAACAGCGTGTCGGTCTATAGCTTACTGAAATTTATTTATTCACTTTTTAACTACCATAATTAGGGTATGTATTTATCCCGGAAATTTCCGAGAGTCTGTGTTTTGAGACTGTTCTATTTTTAAGGATTCTCGTAACTAGCCCGTTCTTCGAGATACCGTATAATCGCGTGTAAGGGCCGCACCCAGGTAAGGGTCACACCCCTGTATTTAGAACAAAGTATTGAAAAAAAAATTTTTTTAAGAAATTTTTTGCGTATGCGCCGACCCCCTTGTCTGTAATGTTACGCTTCTACGAATATATTTTTCTAGGTGGCACTAGCCACCGCCCGAGCACGCGTCCATATCCCCGATACTTGCTCTCCACTCATCCGTATCACCGCATGGCAAACTGCACAAAATGGCTGTCGACCTGGGTCGAGGTCGGCCGCACTGTCGGGATGCATTTATGTTGCGGCAAGGCATTGAGAAAAGATAAAGGATATGTCGGTGTCAGGTTCAGTGGCAAGCGCGTGGAATGGCAATTCAGCGGGCTCGGCTTGCGCGTGCACTCAGGTTTCCGAACGCTGCTGTACGCTCTGGGGAGGTTTCCTTTTGTTCTTCGATTTGTGTCAAAGCATCGTCATTTGTCTGCCTTTTCGCGCAATCTGCGAGCTATGGGCAAGTACCACTTCAACAGTCATACAAGATTCAAGTGGAAAGTTGCCGCGCATGCTATCAAGTACGGAAAAAAAAAAATATAGGCGTAGTGCGCAATATGTCAAGTTGTAAACTAATTATATTGGACTGATGACTGAGTTCGGATTCCGGAGTTAAGGCGTTTCTGACCAGCGCAGCCGAGCGCGCTCACGTACGTTCATTTCCGAATGTGGATACAGATATATTTTTTTATTTTATCCACGTATGGGCCGCACCTCAAAAATTTACCCTCAAATCGGGAAAAAATAGTGCGGCCCTTACACGAGTTTCTACGGCGACTAGCCCATGCTTGGAAGATCGGCGCGCAAGTTTTTTTGGTTGTGACGGAGGTTGTTGCGTTGCCACGCCAACAGGCTGGAGCTGAGAGCAGTTCCTCTCGGCTGGTGAAGAACCGTCATTGGCCCCGCCGTTCTAAAGGTGTTCTATGGAACGACCTTTGTCACACCAAGAAGGGCTTTTGCGCCGATTCCTTCGTGCGCAATCAGTTGGATAGAGCGGCAGATTCGGAGACCCAGTCACCACAGACACGCTCCAGAGGCCCCGACGCATGCAGCGTCGCCTTCGCGAGTCTTCGCACCCGTCGGGCATTTGGGCGGGGAATGGCGGCATTTCTTTGTGGCGAACGAGGGAGGGGCCCCGCCAGTCTGCATGCGAGCCCGGGAGAGGGTGGCAGCCCCCCGCCTGGCGCAGGCCACCCCGGCGTGCCGCTGGTGCACGGGGTGCCGCAAGGGTCGCTGCATCCGGGTGGACGAGGGCTCGTGCGAGCGGCCCACGGACTGCGACGGACCCCGCCACCCGCTGGTGTCGGACCCCGCCCTGTGCCCCCTGCGCTCCTGCCTGGCCTCCGAGTGCGAGAAGTGCCGAGACCTGGGCTCCTGCATGTGGACCCGCCAGGTGGTGCGCTCCAGTGAGTCCCGCCTTCCAAGGACGCCCTCCTGGCCAGACAGCTTTGCAATGCCCCGAGCTTTGTACTGCGATTCCCCCTCTATCGTGTCTGCAAACAAGCGTCGACATACAACTCGAGCCAGTACGGCTTTGCTGGTCTTCCATCTTCACCAGTGTTTCTCTAGGTGTCGTCTTGCACCAACGTTGCGCTCGTCGTAAGACGCCGCCGACGCATCGGGGATGCACGTGCGGCCGTGCAAATGCACGCTACTCATCTTGTTGTAAGAAGAGCGGAGCTCTCGAGCTTCAGGCGGTATTGCTGTGTGGCGGTTCTGCTCTTGGCGGTGTTGACTTCCAAGAGCAACAAAATGGGGCCAGCCTTCAACTCTCCGTCTTAATTTTTACTCTCTCGTTTTAGTGGTGGTGCGACGACACCCTGCCGCTCCCCTCGCATTATACTATCTCGGATTCTAGGTGCCCGAAAGAATTATGCTTTTACGGGTACACTCGATGCGCGGAAGGTGCATGTTCCCTTTGAGTCGTACGTTTATTGGCCATAAATGGGCGGACCTTAGTGATCATTTTACCCAGTCTCTAAAGAGTAGGGGGAATCCTCAGAGTTGAAAAGGGGACACTCAGGGGGGGACCAAGTCGGAAAGGAGATTAGACCGAGGCACTTAAGGGGGAACTGCCAAGAAAAAAGTGTTCTTTTAGACAGCCTAATTGGGACAAGCGTGTCACAAAACAATTTTTCCACGAAATCTTTCTTTTTTTTTTTTACGGCAATATTTATTGCGCGAGACTGATTTTGGTTTGTAGCTCTTTCGTCCCTTCTGAATCGCTCGCCGAAAAGTTGGTATTATATACGTCACCGTGACGTGCGGTAGCAACTCTTCTCATTGTTTAAGAGATTGATTGACAACTCAGATCCTGGTTGTTAATCCTTTGTGATACGTTGTAATTTCCTTTTGAGTGGCATATTTTCGCGTTTAACCCTTTCACTGCCAAATTGTTTTTCAAAAAATAATGCGAATCTCCCAATTTGTTTTCTTCCTGTATTGTTTAGAAACATTATTTTAATAGAAGGAACTATGAGCAATTTTTAATATTGAAACTTTGTTAATAAACGCCGTTATTTTTTGTATTTATACGTAATGACTACTTCCAATGGCAATTTTTCTGTTCTTCTCAAACAGAAAACAGTCCGTGTTATTTTTGGAACATTTATTACGGAGATGAAACATTCGTACTTTGCAAAGAAAAGAAACTGGCAAAATGTTATTTTTCTCTCGACATCCTGCGCCCAACTGAGGACCGACTTGGAGAATCTAGAGGTTGGTCCTCGTACGGTGGATCTCGAAGTATGGGATTACGCAGACCACCACGTTGCAGTCTTTGCACCAATTTCCTTCCGGATCTTGGTCCCTCTGGTGGACGAGGCCTTGCAGTCGGGAGCTGCTTGTTCTCTGTCGGAGGAATGAAGCTTACAAAATGGCGAGCTGTAAGCCGCGTGGCTTCATTGTCAGACTTCCAACTTTCTTGCACTGGCTTTCATCGTGATTTGCTGCAATCACCTTCTCTACGAGGTCCAGTCGGTAGCCCAGTTGACTGAGTGCGCCTCCTTGTTTCTTGTACAGAACGAAAGAGTCGTAGACACACATGTCGAAAAGGTGCCTGAAGATCTTCTTGTAATAGACCTTCTGCCCATCTCTCACAGCCGGGTAGTACGAGAGGTTCTGGTGGCTCTTGTCGACTCTTCCCACGGTGTTGTTGTAGTCGTAAACTGCAGCAGGCTTCACGACTTTCTCGTTCCGGGCGTTGACGCCTTCGACGACTGTGGACTGTGCTCAGCAAGGTGACGAGTTTCACTGCAGGGTCATGCACTTTCCTCGCTGAAACACTTCTCCTTTCTTGAGGTCTCTGAAGGGGGGCATGTCCTTTCTTGTTGGCCGAACCGTGCCATATACATCGGTCTTTTGCTACAGGAGCTTGTCTACAGGCTCCGGAGAGGTGGAGCAATTGTCGACAGTGACGCCCTTTGCAAAGCTTCCATCAGGCTCAGGACGACCCTCGTGTCCGTGGCGTAGCAGTCCCCTTGCCGGTGGAAACGATGAGGTTAGACATGTGCCCGCTCTCAGACTCGCAAAGGAGAAGGAACTTGACACCAAAGCGTGAGCGCTTCAGGGGCAGGTACTGCTTCCAGGACAGCCTTCCTTTGTACAGCATCGAGCGTTCGTCCACTGCTACACTGCTCTTAGGGACGTAGAGGGTCCGTTCCTTGAGGAGACACAGCAGCGGCCACAGCTTGTGGAGCTTGGGTTGGGTGTGCCGTGATTCATCGATCTCATCTTCGTTGTTGGCAAAATGTAGAAACTTCATTATCGGGTGAAATCTGTTCTTGCTCACGAGTTCACCAAAGATGGGGGTTTGGAGAATCCTCCTGGTCGACCAGTACATGGCGAGTTCAGGCTTGTCTACAATGCCTCGCAGCAGTATCAATGCGAGGAGCTCCTCCGCAGTCAACAGCTTTCACAGTGCAGCGCGAGAGCCATCAGTTGTCCGATGTTTTGCGAGAAACTGTGAGGCGTACCTGTTTGTTTCTTGCACCATCAGGGCGAGGACCTCGTTGTCAAAAAATAGCTCGAAACACTCAAGAGGGTTACGCTCATCTTGAACTGTAGCCGTCGTACTCGGAGACGCCAGAAAGGCAAATCGAGGGGGTGGAGGCTTCTCATTATCAAGCTTTGTCCACTTCCGAGATGCCTGTAAATCTTCGTCGTCACTCGTGTCGCACTCGTCCAAGCTCAGTTCGAGATCCGATGAATAATCGCTGGCACTGTCCAGAAGCAGTTCCTCATCTTCTTCATCTGAACTGCTTTCAATCTGGGCAAAAACGCGTTTTTGCCGTGGCACATGCGCGTCTCCGCTGCCGCAAGCGCTTGAGGACACCACCATTTTTAAAACCCAGGTAGCCAGACGATTGCTCCAGCTTCTGCAAAATTGGAGGAGCGCGAAAAAAGTTTGGTTCGCCTAGCGTCATCTGGAGATTGCCGGTGACGCGGGGTTTTGTCGTGGGGTTTTGGTTTTGATAGCGCGGTTTGTTACTTTCGTTTTCTAGGGGTGTTCTCTTTGCTTTCTCAGCGTGCTTTTTCTTTTTGCTGGCGCGTGCAAATGTCGACTTTTCGGAGATGTCAGTTTCTGTAAAGCGGTGTCATCGCTCTGTAATGTGCTGCCGGATGAGTGGTCGCGACCGCGAGTCTTCCAGCAGCCATGTCGCCTCAAAAGATGACAAGCTGAATGCTATTTAGTTGGAGGCAATCGAGCGTTTGCATAGCGACCAATGTGTCCAGGTATGTTCTTGTCCTTTCGCTCGGGAGGGCTTTGAGATTTGCGCCGGGTGCACCTAACGTTCGCGACTGAGACGCAGGGTGGTCCGAACGCTTTTCCTACCGAGCGCGCCGATGGCTCGGGCGGTGCGCCGTCTTTGTTGCTGGCAGCCGTCCTCCCCGGCGTATCTTTGTATGGCCCTAGACCCAGTTGCTCGCAGCGGCCAAGAACCTGACGCCCTAATGCAGGGTCCATTTTACGTGCAGTTTGCTTAGACCACAGAAGTTGCAAAAGGCTGTGGTACGCACACAAGACGCATCGTGAGTCAAGACGCTGCATGTGTCGTTCAACTCCGCAGCCAAGTCAATCCAAGAGCAAATCCGAGAGCGAGGGGCGGGGCGTACTTCTCCTTTGCGCGGGGTTGAAAGAGCGGGAGTTTCAAATCTGGAGAGGTTCTAACTCCGACCAAATTACGTTCTGTAACGTAAAAATATTGCTAAAATTTTTTTTTTGTTTCGAGGAAGATTTGTTTTGTGCCATGCTTGTCCCAATTAGGCTGTTTAAAAAACGTTTTTTTCTTTGCAGTTACCCTTTAAGACTGCATACGTGTAGGAATGCGAAAGCATTGAGGCCTGTTTGCAACTGCAGCGGAGCACTACAAGCATAGCGTTGACCTTGCGCTAAGTGCGTGCTGGCGGGAGCATTCACCAGCTTTGTATCGCACCTTCGAAGCTGGAAGCAGCGCGCCACGTCTTCCTTTGTTGCTCCGATGGCAACATCACGCTCCCCCCCTGTGCAGGCTCCCCGCCGGCTTCTGCGACGAAGCATCTGCGTTTCTTTCCTTCGTGTTTTATCTCTGAGGCCCGTCCGCTTTGACCAATCTGGCGGCGCGTGCTCGATGACATATTTTTCTGTCTTCGGGTACAATGCCACTGCCTTTTCACGTAATAGGACGAGTAGGACCTAAAAGTTCCGCTGCTCTACAGTTTAATCTAAAAATGCCTCTTTTTCCCGAGGGAAGAAATGTTGTCCAGCAAGCGTGCCAAATGCGGAAGAAAAATAGTATATTTTTGTTTTTACGCTAACAAAATATACTGACTGGTGTTACCCCACGAAGGATTTTAAATTGTGCTCAGTGGGAGGTCATGTTTTCATAGTATTGTTTTTCTTTTTTAAAAATAAAAGTGTGCCTTAACGAGTAAACATTCTTTCGGTTTTCTTGCCCTTTGTACCGATTTTGCCGCTCTCCAGATTCCCAGGAAAATGAGACTGGACGCTTCCTTGAGACAAAATGAGGGCAGGAACGAAGCTCTAAAACGGGTCCGTCCCGGCCAACGTCTGGCGACTCCACGTAAAAGAAAAGATAGTCTCGATCAATGAACCGTACCAAGAGAATGGGAGAAATGTTACGAAGCCACCGAAAGGCAAAACCTTTGGCGGCACCGGCGTTTGAACTCTGAGTCTCCCGATTCCTTGTCAGGTGTGTCAACCGTGCACTGCACTACCACAACACTGCCTCGTCTTTTGGCATCTCCTACCTGTCTTATGAATGCTCCGAAGTTACACGTGTTCACCTTGCGCTCTGGTTAGCGTGCCTGACCGGTAGTCGGGAAACCCCGGGTCGGAATTGCGCCAAAGTTTTGTCTTTCACTGGTTTCGTAGCATTTGTCCCATTTGGTCTGCACGTTTCACTTATCTACGTCTTTCCATTGGGTACTGCTGATACGCAGTTTTTTTCTCTAATTTTCGATAGTATATGAGAAGTCCGTAATACGTACGGCTGGTTCGTTTGGAGTCAGACAGTGGGGTCCATTCGTACGTATTACTTCAAATGTTTGTATGTAGCCGCATGTACCGCACGAAAGATGACACTTTGTGCCTTAAACGCATTTAGTTTCCAAGAAATAGAACCCGAAAGGGGCGGGGAGGGACGGCAGGATTTCGATGATGGTCGATTTGTGCTTTATTTCAAACTATTAGCGACAGATCCCGAATTAGGGCGTTAATGGACAAATAATCTAGTAAGACTCGTTTTTATTATTTATATCCTACAATTTTTAAAAATTCCCCAATTTGCTTCCGCAAACGATAGTCTCTTTCCGAAATTCACTCTGGCCACTTTGATCCCTATCGTTGTCTGAGGAATGGCACATGTCGTAATAATAATGCCCTCATGATTATTGATGACGGAAGAAGGAAATAAATAGGAGAGCGGCGTAAGCATTGATTTCTCCCTCCGGTCCAGTGAATCTTTCGGTGGTACATATTCGGCTGTAAAGTCCTTCGACGTTGAAATGTTTATCGCGGTGTTAATGTGGGTCGGTGCTTCGTCCTTACCGGTCGTGTAATTGTCAGCATCGAAACTGAAAGATCTAGATGGAATCGTAAGATAAAGACGCGCATTCTTGACTGCTGTTGACTAGCGAAAGTGGCTGTGCCCGGCAAAATGCTGCAGACTGCAGCTGAATTACCGCCATTAGTAGGGTAAAAGGAAAACTGGTATTTGAGCCTCCAGATACGCTGAATTTCGAAAAGGGTCCATCGTGCTTCCAGATTTTGTTTTGAGTATTGAGAGTACTGGTTAGGGAAGGGCGAGGAAGAGAGCGGGGGCAGAAGGGGCTTCCCTCGCAGGCGAGCTGGGCCACATCCTGAACGTGCGGCCCATCTTCGACTGGACGTGCGTGGGGCGCACCCTGAAGGACGCCTCCAGCTTCCCCGTGGAGTCGAACCCGCCCCGGCCGTGTCCCAAGCGCTGCGGGCAGCACCGCTCTTGCGCCGACTGCCTGGCCAGCGCCGGAGGGGAGGGCGGCTGGCAGGAGTGCCGCTGGAGCGAGGCCCTGGCACAGGTGGGCCCCTGGCTCTCCCTCTTCGCTTCCAAGGCAATTCGCCCGAGAGAGGGAATTTGCTTTTGCGCGCACGCCGTCCTCTTCGGATTGGTGACGGCCGGGAAGCAGAAACTAAGACTCCCGGCTCCGGTTCTTCCGTTAGAACGTCGGTGGCCAGGTTCTACGCACGGGGAACGTGGCCCCGTCGTCGCCAATGAGACGAGGACAGCGGGGCATACCTCGACCCATGGGCCGTTGAGCACGGCTGTCTCGCTCCGTCGCTGATTTTAGCGCCTGGATTCCTATAAAAAGCCGTAAAAGGAAATGCTTTGCCCAGCGTGCTTGGCTGCATCCCGTTTCAGCGTGTGCCCTCTGGCGGTGGAATCGGCTCTCGCGTTGCGATGGCTTAAAATTGGGAAAAGCGCGATGTGGACAATCTATACTGATGGGAGAACGTGTGTTCTTACGGAAGGTTGAGTTGTTTTTTTGAAGTTAGTAGGACGAGCATGCGGTGGCGAATACAGTGATGTGATTGCTGCGCCAATTGCGCCAAACTGCGCCAAGGGGCTAACCCAGCTACATCCTGCTACATTTTACCAAAATATGGCTAATCTGCGCCAAGCCTGCGCCAAAGGACCAATTTTGGTCGCCTTTCAAAAACGAAACTAAACTGAGAACCGTAATTGAGCATGCATGAGCTTGGTGGCACAAAAACCGCCGCCGGACAGAAAGTACCCTGCATCAATCGTCTGTTCGGTCTTGCATGATTTTTCCCATCGTCTCGCGTTTCGCGCTCTCGTCGTCTCGGGAATCTCGTCTCGCGTCTTTTTTAGTTTTTTTCTTTTTTTAAATTTTCTTAGCAATAAACGCGGGCGTGTGCGGATGCTCCGATGTTAGTGTGCCGAGTGCCAGACATGCCGCGCGGCGAGAGTTCCTTGCGCGGCGAGAGTTGCTTTGAGAGCTGAAGCGCTCGCGCGACCACAGTCGCCGTGGTTGCGCGACGTCGTGTGTTGCCGTCCCCACGTCGCTGCAGATATGGCGCTTTCTAAGCTGCAACGCATCGACATTCCTGCTCTTGTTTAAATCATACGCTGCTATAAAAATCCCTCTTTAACTCAATGACTGCTTGGCGAAGTTTTGATTACCTACACTCTAAAAAGAGGGCATCACCTTACACCCTTTTGTCCCATATCATACACCCCAAAACTTCATCTCGACGTACAGCACCCTACAGTCGAACAGACGGCCCCAAATTTTACGAGGGGCTTGACAACGGTGCGATATAACTTATTAAATTGCTAAAGTATTTATCAAAGAGCAAAGAAAGAAAACACTGAGCTTTTGCAGTACGGCCAAGAAAACTCCGATAGCCTTTTTTGTAGTCAATAATACGTACATCAGTTATCTTAATAAGTTGTACCACACAGCTATCAAGCCCCTCGTAAACTTTGGGGCCGCCTGTTCGATTATGGGGCGCTGTATGTCGAATTGAAGTTTGGGGGTGTATTATATGGGACACGGGGTGTAATAATACACCTTTTTTTCAAAGAGTGTAGGTTTCTCGATGAGCTTTCTTTCGAGAGGGACCCCGGTACGTGAAAAATCTGCCGCGAAAAAAGTTGATGACGAGAAGTGAGCTAAAGCAAAGAAGGCAATGTCTGCACGCTGAACCCGCACACTGCACTCGTTTGTCTCGAGTTCAGTCGTTGCACAAAGCGGTCCAAGAACTTTTTGACACTGATTCGCAATGTCTTGCATCGATACGCTCAGGTTCTTTCTGTGTGTTTAGCCTGTACCTCGCCTGCCGGCCTGGCAAGCACGCGCCGCTGGACTGTTTATTGTCGTATGCTGGACAGTTACATTTTGCATACTATTTCGGGAACCAGTTGGCGACGGAGCGGAGTGGCATGGTTTCGGTCCAACAGTCTCCGCTCGCGCGACGAAGCACGTGTAACTGCAAGCCTGCCGAAGTTGCCTTCACGTGCATGTGAACATGATTGCACGAGAGGCACCAGCCGGCACGCTTGCAATCCATTGTTTTACATTTGCTTACTTTTTATAAAAATCTGCCACGTCGGGAAGCAGTAAAACAATAGCAAGTGTTTTTTTTTTTGTTTTTTCGGAATTGTTTGGCAACGCCTACAGCACTGTATACTTGTGGGATGTCTCAGCAGCAAAAACACAAGCAGCGAGTTCCGCCCCAACACGTCACATTACAACACAACACATAGTGCCCTTCGTTTGCCCAGCACTTAAAACAAATATTTATTTTTCTAAGAATATATGCTCCAAAAGCCACTTTTTTAGCTCCGAAACACTGTTTTGGCTGCTCCAAAGGCCACATTAGCTGCTCCAAAACGCTGTTTTGGCTGCTCCGAAAGGTGCTCCAAAATGGCTTAGGCCAATCACATCACTGCGAATATATGGTGCTTGCTTTTGTAAAACTGCTACAGAAGCACATTCTGGCAGATTGGATGCATAGCTTACCAGGGAACGACATCTATAGATTTTTTTATCTACGTTCGATGTTACGCTTGTGAGGAGCAGGCGGTGGTGGCCCGCAGCAGGCGTCCGGTTCGACGATTGCGTTAATGCGGTGTTTTCACATTTTTAATCGTTTCGCCTCTATTGCCCTTCCGAGTTTCATGTCGCGGTAAATTTTGCGAGATGTACCGGGTGAAACAAGGAGACGGTAGGCTCTTTATATCGACCGGAAAATTCGGTTTCTTAACCTATCGCGCTACGACTTTGTGCAGCGTCGCCCACAGATGGTGCATTTTTTTTGTAAAATTTGCAAAGAGCGAACTTACCTGAGGAAAAAGTAAAGAAAGAAAAAGGCTTAGCTCCTATGGAAACGCAGCGACGGCACCGGTCTGCAATCAACACGGCGCCGTTTTGCACGGTAGACAAGAGATGGCGCAACGAACGCCGCCAACGAATGAGCATACGGCGCCGAGAGCCAGCGTTTTTAGCAGACGATCTTTTCGAATCAAAAGCGGCGCGCGTTCCGCAAACGGCGACAGTTGCAGAAACAAAAACAGGCGTGGTAACAACAAGCAACTGCAGTTCCTTGTCTGCTAAAAATGCCGGTTCTCGGCGTCGTCTGCTCGTTCGTTGGCGGCAGTTGGCGTCGCGACCGCTTGCGCCATCTCTTGTCTACCGTGCGAAACGGCGTCGTGTTGATTGCAGACCGGTGGCGTCGCTGCGTTTCCATAGGAGCTAAGCCTTTTTCTTTCTTTACTTTTCCCTCAGGTAAGTTCGCTCTTTGCAAATTTTACGAAAAAAATGCACCATCTGTGGGCGACGCTGCATAAAGTCGTAGCGCGATAGGTTAAGAAACCGAATTTTCCGGTCGATTTAAAGAGCCTACCGTCTCCTTGTTTCACCCGGTATTTATCGGAGCGAGTGGCGTGTCACGCGGAGGAACTAAATGGGGCAATCGTCGAACGGGGGTGGGGCAAACGGAAGCTCCTTCCCGCCGCTTCCATCTCGTCGGCGGCTGCCGTTAAATCTAGACTCGTTGCTCGTGCTGGGTGAAGAGATAAATGGCGAAAAATATTGGGTATGCAATGTTTGGGGACGCAACCGCAAAATTTTATTTAAAGTGAGCAATAAATGCGGGGCCACCCGTCCCGAGCGACACGACGTGGAAACCGGTACCAAGGGCCGCAGATGTGGCGGGTTTGCGTTTCCCGGCGCGGTAAACATGCCGGGGGGCACTTTAACGCAAATTGTGGGCCGAAGCGGTTCCCGTCGGACATTGCGCGACGTCCAACCGGAATATTTAACGCCGCGGGCACGTGGCAACGGGATGGCCAATCTTTGGGCGAAAGGTGCGGGTACGGGATTTTCCGGCATTCTTGGGAGGTAAACGGCCCCCCCCGGTGTCGCAGTGCCTGACGCCGAGCTTCGTGGGGCTGCGGTGCGAGGGCGGGGCCTGCGGGGCGGTGCTGCGGGGGGGCCCCGAGGCGTGCGGGCGTCCCTGCCACGCCCGTCCCCAGGCGGCCCTGTGCCTGGAGGACCCCCGGTGCGGCTGGTGCGGCCTGCTGGGCCCCGGGGCCAACGGGGAGGGCCTCTGCATGCGTGGAGGCATGGGGGCCCCCACGGGGGGCGCCTGCAGCCCCGGATCCGTCTTCCTCCAGGGGCGGCCCCTGCCCGGTGCGTCTCCTGCCGTCCAGGCTCCACCCTTTTTCCCACGCGCCCAGATGCGCGCCTCTAAGGAAACGGGCCGTCGACTCTCGCGAGACTTTTTATTAGGTGGCCCGCGTCGTAAAGAGGCACTCGGAAAAGCAAAAGTTTTAGCGTCTCGTCTATGTCGGGAGACGCAATGGGGGTGGAGAGCGACTTTGATATTTCGTTGACCCGAAATAGACGCGCGTTTTAGAGCCACTCTTAATAATGCGAAACTTGCAAAAAAAACTTTTTTTAAGTGCCCGTATCGCACCCCTAGATAGCAAAATCAGCTTTGTTCGAAAGAAATTTCAAGTTTTTTACCGTAATATTTAAGCCGCGAAGCTTTTTTTGAGTGAAGACCAATTCCGAAAGGTTTCTTTATTTTTTTCACGTCGTCCCAAAATAGAAGCATGGAATGAAAGCACATTGCGATACTCAAAATGAGTCTCGAGGCCTAATATTGTGTGGAGAAGTTTTTCTCGAGGGGTTTCTCGCAGCGCGGATGTTCGGGAAAAAAACATCTTTTTTGGAGTGACAACTGCCCGTCCCACTGGGACGGAATCTAGCGAGGGGAGGCTGCGAGGGGCCGATGAATGCGGCTCTGCGGACGGCTCTGGCCGCTCCCGGTCGGGTCCCTGGGCACCGTTAGGGCGGGAAGGGGTCCAAGCGGCCAGCCAGGGGTTCCTGTCTGAGAGTGGAGATCGGACAATGGACCCTTTTTAGCATAACTGGTGCCACTTGGCAGAAAAATGGCTTTGAGGATTTTCAGTAGGAAACCATATGCGTCGGGCATAGTGGATTTTGAGCTTGAAGCGATTATCAGTTTTGGCCGAATGAAATGTTCCGTAGTTCCTTCGGGGGCCTTTTTGCTGCTGCACCGTGCTTAAATGAAAGCCCCGCTAAGCTTCCCAAGGTTGTTCCCAAGTTTTCATTCCGCCTAATCTGCCTATACTTGTCTTGAAAAGCTCAAATCCCGCATTGGGATGGCGACTAAATGACAGATTTGACATGGAATGAAACCCGTAGAGAGGCTCAGTGACACCTAATGGAGAGATTTTATAAATCTACTCTAGATATACAGATATCCTATGTACAAAGACAATCTTTAGCGAATAAAGGGACCATGAAATGACCACTTTTTTCAAATAACTTTTACATTGAACCTTCAATGTTCACTGATATCCGGACAGGCATCCGTTTTCCTTTCGGTTTATTAACTTCTACACTAAAATTACTCAAATATAGAGTCCAACTCACCAAAAAAAAAACCACGTTGTAATTTTGACGGTCGTGACGTGCTCTGAGTCCTCTCGGCAGTAGGAGAATGGGAGCAGCAAGTTGACGGTGTGCCGGTAGATTTTACCACGGGGTTTTGCTGCACTGATGGTGCCGATGCCACTGACATATTTTCTGAATCGGCGCCTCTCATCAGCACGATAGCCATGGACACATCGCAGCTGAGCGAAATTCAATTAGATATCTTGCGCTACAGCGACAGCATGGGACTGGTACCATAAGGTGCCATAATGTGGTACAAAGCGCAGCGGGTCGTCGGCACGACCGCCGCTTCTCCGCCGCCGTCAGCCGTTTCCGCGGTATCTCTACAAAGAAGGGAACGCGCTGTCACTCACTGGCATAGCAGGAAATGCGCAGAGTTTTCTGTCGGCTCAAGCTTTATTAACTTTCATTTTGTAAGGACAGGCTCGCAGGACAGAGTGGACGAAAAAAGAAAAAGGTGCAGTACGGCCGTCTGCGACGATCGCGACTTTAAAACACGACTTTACCGATAGTACAAATCTCGCCACACGCCTTTTTTACGATTGCAAAAAGACTGTGTAATCCTAGCGGAGATATAGCAACGTAGAAATATGATTTCGTGATCACATAGACGTTGCACGAGTTCACGAATGCTAACACTAATCACTTTTCTCGGGTGATGAAAACGTGTCAAATTCGCATCCTTCGTGCACGCCTTTAAACAGAGTATGCACCAGTAATATGTCTAACACGTGTGGAATGCACAAAATAAGACATCCGGGCGATGTTCGAGGAGACAAATGCTAAGAAAGCACCAGTGTAGTCGAAGTAAACAAAGACGACGGCACGAGCATTTCTGCTGTCTCGAGAGTGCCGCCACAACATCACCGCACGAGTAGATAGATCTTTCCTTCTAGGACTTCTAGGGCTGGGTTATCATAGCGACGAGAATTCAGTCGAGGATAGCGCTCAATGCCGAACGATGAGCTTCCGCCACGCCGACCACGTCAACAATCACCACCGACGCCATGCTTTTCAGCAGAGAGCAGGAAACAGCGCAGGCGCAGTCTTGTATTTCTCTTGCTTTTACCACACGATAGGTGGCGCGTAGCTCCGAGCATTATAAAATTCTGCGATTTCCGTCACATTGCTAATTATTCGACGAAATGTGAATCCGAATATTCTTTAACAAAACTTTTAAGAAACATTCACCGGCTATTTATTGTTTCTGATCGCGGTGCTGGTGAGTTTGGCTCTGATCCAACGGGCGATGAGGATTTGACCGACGTGTATTGGCACTGTGGATGCATCCCAGGGAAGAGGCGGAGAGCTTCGAAGGAAAGCAGGCGTAAAAGTCCGTTTTTCTTTTCAAAGTTCTATAGTAGTGAAAACAATTTTTTGTCTCTATTTTTGTGTTTTGGTTTTCTTTTCACGCCTTTTACGACGTGCTGTGGATGATTTCAGAATCTTTTCTTGGTCCCTTTAATGTTGGTTGTCAGGGCGTCGCCTAATCTACCCTCTTGCACAATTGGATTTAGGAACTTTTACTGCAATGTACATATCAACATCCGCAAATTTTTTTGTTTCTTTTCAAGAATATCAGGCAGGTGCACCCAGCATTAGTTTTGAATGCATGCTTTTTTCCTAAGCACGTGGCTGCAATATTGTCACGAATGACAATTGATGAGGTGGTAAATAATGAAAGGAACTAAATGTTTAATGTAGTGAACTTGCATCAAAACAAAAGCAAAAGAGAAAATTCACAGGGTCTCTTATGTTCTGCCTAAGACTCGAAGGCGAAAGCCCAAGCGCCGATGTAAACATGATGGCAAACCTCCGAAGACAGCGCGCTCTCTGATGACGCACTTTTGGCTCCGTTTCATTGGTCCAGGTAATAGCGAACCTCCGAAGACAATGCGCCTTCTGACGACATAGCTTTGGCATATTTTAGGACCTTTTGTGTTGCCAACATTTACTCAGAGTCGACGATGAGAGGGTTTTGCCTCGATAACGGAAGGTAACGAGACAGCATTCCAGGCATCAAATGTCGGCACGAACGCAGAGTTGAGCGCTGGCAAAAGACTGACTCCGTATGGTGTGATGCTAATTCTTTTGAGCCTTCGCTGGGAGCCTCGAGCATTCTACCTCGTTGGTTCTGGAACTAGACATTTTGAGCATGAACAGGCTACCTGGTTTTTCAACATCCTAGAATCTTCTACTTGCATAAAGACAACACAAATGGTGGGGGGATTCAAACCCCTGCCACTTGCGTGAGAGCCAAGCACGCTGCCCACTTGGCTGGCTGCGCACGCGGCATTACTCCCCCCTTTTAAAAGCGCGTCGCCCCGATGCACCAAAACAAAAGAATGGTAAGCGTCCTCTGGAACACGAAAAGTCCACAGTCCTATCGAGCACAAAATGGCTCGATTGAGTCGAACGAAAGGAATCACCTCGGGTTGCGTCGTAACGATGCCCGCGTTCGGTCAGGCACCACTTGGTAGTTGAGCTGCCCCAGGTGTCCGAGTGCCTTGTGAGGTCCGAAGTACCCTTGCAACAGTTTCTCGCCGAGGCCACGAGGCGGTGTGTACGCCCACACCCTGCCTCCGGGCTGGAAGCAAACGTCCCGAGGACAAAAGTTGTAGCGGCCAGCATCGACCTGTTGCTGGTCTTGAACCCAGAGTCGGGCGAGCTGGGGGACTTGTGCCCATTTGGTGACCGTCGGGGCGTCGTCGTGGGGCAGCATTGCGTCGAGCATAGTCGCCACTTTTCGGCCATGCACCAGCTGGAAGGGCGTCTCTCCAGTGGCCTTTCGCACCGCCGTTCTGTAGGCAAATGTGACGTGGGGCAGCACCTCTTCCCACGTCTTGTGCTCCACGTCGACGTATGTACGCGGAAACCACGTCGGCGATGGTCTCGTTTAGCCGTTCCATCAGCCCGTTTGTCTGCCGACGGTATGCCTTCGTTTGACGATGACCGGTGTGATTGAGCCGGAGGATCTCTCGAGTTTGCTGTGCCGAAAACGACGGCCCTCGGTCTTTAATCGGAACTATTTCGAGGGCACTGTGCCCGAAGACGATGCATTTAACGGAGAACTTGGCCACTTCCACCGCAGTTCCCGATGGAAGGGCTTTGGTCTCGGCATACTCTGTGAGGTAATCTGTCGCGACGACGGTGGGAGCGGTCCGAGCGAGTCCATTGGGTCTGCCGCAACGGCGCAGTCGGGGTAGTGGTCGGCTGCAGGAGTCCTGCCGGCTTCGTTGGTAGTTTCTTGCGTCGTTGGCATTTGTGGCACGACCTCGTGTAATGATGGACGGCCTTTGGGAGCTTGGGCCAGTAGTACTTTTCGCAAATTGATTCGGGCCAGTGTCCTACCGTAGCCGAAGTGTCCAGCCATCGAGTCATCCGGGCATGCTAGAAAGGTCCCTTCACGGAGATCTTTAATACCCATGTCAGACGGCGTTCTAAAGATCCTTTTCACTAAGCTCCTTTATAAAATCGGCCAATCTGCTCGCGATGTTCAGTGCGCACGTGCCCTACGGCGTGCGCTGGTTCGCCGATTTTATAAAGGAGCTTAGTGAAAAGGATCTTTCGAACGCCGTCTGACACGGGTATAAGACTCACCGGAAGCCACGCTGAATTGCTGGCCCCAAAGTTCTTTTTGTAGAGCACATCCTGCCGAATGACGAAAGTTGGCAGCACGCGGGCAAGTACACGGAGTGCATTGCCAC